TCTGCGTAGTTCATCTCGGCGTCTCTTATGCACCTCCAGTCATCGACTAGATGCGCCATATATCATATTTCGAACGTTGCCGCTTTCCTTCCGTAGGTCCACGGCGATGATATGCCGGTTGACTCGTCGGGTAAGGGTGTCTATGACGAGCTCAGAGATGCTGGCAAGCTTCGGATCATCAAGCGTAAGAAGTCGTTCTCACTTCACTGTACAGTAGGTGGCTCATTCAGTCTATTCTCGGCCTTGTCAGGTACGGAGGGCGTCTCTACCACCGATTTGATTGGCCGAATGTTACTCATGACGAAGGACCATCTGTGCAAGCCCAATACTGACGAGAACATTGATCTCAACGAGCGGACTGGCACCTTGGTGAGTCCAGAGGGATTGACGTCTTCCGTACTGTTTAGTCCGGTCGTCAGGTACGCATGCTCACGACGACAAGACGGATTGCCGAATTCTCCTCAAGGCGGGCTCCATCGGCAGAGGACACCGTCGTGTAACTACCCAATCCTTCTGTTGTCTGTATTTTCTCTTTTTAGCTACGTTGATGGAGCTTTTGATATGTTCAATGTTGGACATGCAACAACTCTCGAGAAGGCGAAAGCTCTTGGCACGTGAGTCCCGTAACGGGACTCCCGTTACGCTCAAGTGTTAGAAGAACGGTCTCACCCGAGGAACCGTCTCGATATCGTAACAAACTTGAATGACTTCAATCACCGCTTTTTTGGCCTTCTCACGACATCTCAGATACTTATTGGTGGGCATCTTCGATGATGAAACAGTCAATAAAATGAAGGGTGGCAACTACCCTGTGATGAACCTTCACGAGCGAGTAAATGTCGTCATCATCGATAACTCATCGAATTGTTGGTATGTATTATTGGTTCTCATCAGGTACTGAACGTGAGTGCATGCAAGCATGTCGATGAAGTTATAATCGGCGCCCCTGTGGAGATCAGTGAGGACCTGATTAGGACTATGAATATCAGTATTGTTGCACAAGGCTCGATAAGTTCGTTCTCTACGCAGTATGAGATTCTTGTGAGGCTGTTTGTAGGTTCCCGTCGACCCAAGTGGGTTCATTATGATGAGATAGGAGAAGTAAATACCAGTCTTGCTTGGTAGGATGATGTTTTCAACGCCTCCTTTAGGTGATACAAGTGAATGAAGTTCCAAAGCGTTTGGGTATCCTCCGTGAAGTAGAGAGTGATTACCCTCACTTAACCGGAGCTACAATCGCCACACGGATCATCAAGAATTGCCTCCACGTACGGGTTTCGCTTAAGCTCACCTTATGAGCTGACTGTTTGATTCCAGATACATCAATCGTAATAAGAAACGGAGCGAGATCGAGAGTGAATACTATTGCACAGCAGCACATCGCTGAGCAGTAGAAATTCTTTCCTAACAGTAGCTAGACCGTCAGCGTT